CACCCCCCAGGGGCGCTGGGGGAGAGGGAGGGTGCACACACCCCCAGGGGCGCTGGGGGAGAGGGAGGGTGCACACCCCCCAGGGGCGCTGGGGGCGGGCGGGGGCTGCTGCTGCCCAGGCTCCTGCGCAGACCCCGCCTGGGTGGCTGCACTGGCTGGCGGGCCCGGTGCCTGCAACTTCCAGCCGGGCTGAGGCGCTCTGCTCGGCTCTGCCGTGCCCGCGGGCTCAGGCCGCTGCTCCCCTCGCCTCCCTGTGCACAGGCGCTGGCAGAGGCTCGGTGCCACCTCCGGACCAGACCAGGGGGTGACTTGGCCGCTGAGAGCTGGGCTGCAGGGACTGCCCGCGCCTCCACGCTGCTCCTTGATTAACCCCTGCAGGCGGCGGGGCGGACTGCGGCTCCAGTCGGCGTTTGCGGGTGTGGAGGGCGTGGAAAGACGCGCGCAGCGGCGGGGCGCGAACCGCGGGCGCGGGGGCGTTAGGAGCTCTCCGGGCCCACCGGCTTGCTCGGAAGTCTGGCCCTCCCTGCCCCCGCCCGGACACACCTCCGGCGCTCCCGGCTCCCTCTGCTCCGGAGTCCTGGACCGCTTCCAGGGAAGGCAGCTCTGGGTCTGGGCAGCGCCCCTGGGAGCCGCCGGCGCCCGCCCTGCTCCCTTCGGGTCCGGCAGCTGCTTCTCCTTCGCCTCCGCTGCGGGCTTTAGTGTCCCCGCCGGCAGACCCGGGACACCTGCACGGAGGATTCGCCCAGACAGGGCTGGCGAGGGGGACGCCGGGCACCCAGGAAGTTTTGAAGGCAGAGACTGGAGTCCTGAGCCCCCAACTGCCTCCGGACATGAATCAAACAGCGGGCGCCTCCAATAACGTCCGGTGCCCCCCCGGGAAAGGTCACAAGGTAGGCGCGCTCGAGGGGCTCGGTGGTGACCGGAGGGCGGCTGCTGCCCGCAGCTTGCAGCTGGGTGGGTCCAGCGTCCCGAGGGAGCCGCACTCAGCGGGCGGTGCTGGGGGAGGTTGAATCAGTAAGGGCCACGGGCCCAGGGGCTTGTGAGAACAGGTGGTGTTGCACTGACCCGAGGCCAGGCTGGGCCGCCTGTCCTGGCTGCCAGGGGCCAGACCCCGGAATGGCCCGCTGCGCGCAGCTGAAGCTGCTTGCGGAGGGCGCAGGGGAGGGCGGAGGGCGGTGCGCGCCCCACCCCCAGCGGCAGCCCCTGCGAGGACAGGACGGGCTGGGAGCGCAGCCAGGGCGGTGGGTGTCGCCCCCACGTGCTCCATTAACTTTCCTGGCCCGGACGTGCCTGGAATGAGCTCAGCGGATTCCAGCGGAGGCCGGAGGATCCCTCCGCCGCCGGCGCCCAGGGGTGCCGCACTGGGGAAACGCCTCCCACGCTTGGCGGTGGCCACATGCCCTGTGCTCCCCGAGGGGGTTCCCTGAGCTGGTCCTTCATTTGCGAGTCTCCCCTGGGCTGCCCAGGGCCGCCCTGCGGGCTGTGTGGGTGGATGTGGACTTTGGAATCGGCTAGAAGATTTCTAGGATCTAAAAATCAGCCACTTTGCACCGTGAATTGTGGCTCGCGCCTCTGCCGGCTCCGCCCGCCTGCCACCCCGAGAGGCCGGGCGGCCCTTGCCCCCCCCCCCCGCGCTGGCCTGGACCCCACTTGCTGGAGGATGGGGGTGGGATCTGGAATTCCTAAGGACTGGGGCTCTCCGATGCATCAGGGACTGTCGGGAGTTACTTAAGAGGCCCCGCCCCAGCGCCTGTATTTCCACCGGCTGGGGGGCCTGTGGCCCTGGGGGTGTCCGGGGAATTGGGGTCCTACCCCACATCTGTTCTCATCACCTGTTGCTGGAGTAGCCCCCTCTTCACGGGGACTACTGAACGGCCACCGTAGGCAGTGCCTCTGTTATGGTGCTAGCAGCTGGCATCAGTTTGGAATTAAAGGCCACGAGGCTCACACAGCCGCCAGGTCGCCGGGGCGGAGACGCTCAGGGCCTGTGTTAGTGGGCAGGCTCGGGGCGGGCAGTCCCCGCAGGGCGAGGGCGGTCTGACGCCAGCCTAGCTTCCTGGGAGACCCTGCGCACAGCCGCAGTTTGGGGGAACCTGCCACAGAGCAGGGGCCCTGACATCACAAAGTGTGGGACTGTGCCCGGCGCGCTCGGCGCGCTGTGGCTCGGGAACTCGGCGCTTAACCCCACGGCCGCGCAGGCCCCCAGGAGGACCAGGCGGCTGACCCGACTGCACTCCAGGGGCGCCGGGGGAGGGGGGTTGGCACCTGGCACCTGCTGGAGGAAGAGAGCCCCCACTTCTGTCTCAGAGCAGCAGCCGCCAGGCTGGTCCTGCCTGGGAGCTGCGGTCTCGGGGGTAGCTGGGAGGGCGAGCTGGACGCTCAGATGGACATGGCAGGAGATGGGGCCTTGGAGAGTTTTGGGGCGAGGGCAGGGGCGTTCCAGTCAAGGTGGGGCCCGCCTGGGAAGGGCTGGGCACCTCGGTTACAAGACACTTGGTAACAGGAAGCCCAGGCGTGGGTCCTCCCTTGGGAAGCTGCTCCCACTTCAACTGTGGGCGGGAGTGCTCGAGGGCCTGGCCGGGCGGGCTCTCCCCGCTCGCGCGTCCTGATTCTGTGGCCGGGACAGGAGGCGGCAGATGGCCTGGTCTCCCGTGCAGGCGACTGTTGGCAGCACTCACCCTCCCAGGGTGGCCATCGGGGGCGAGCCACCCCAGCTGCAGCCAAGATGCCAAGGGCTGAGGGTGGCCAGGTGCCAGCCGCTTCCGCGTCACCGGGGGGCCAGCACCCACTGCAGCTAGGGAGGTCAGAGTGCGAGGCTTACACGGCCCGGGGCCCTGCCTCACGCCCACGCCGGCCATCTGCTGGCCCCGTGCAGTCGCGAGGCCACAGCGGAGGACCCAGGGGCCTGGGCGCGGGGTGGACCCGCCGCGGGCCCCAGCAGCCCACCACCATGTCCGCGAGCTCTGGGGTGGGGCTTTCTGGAAATTCCTTGTCTGACTTCCTACCTGTTTCGTTTCTAATGTACACAGCGGGGTGCCCTGGGCGACAGAAAGGGTGGACGGTCACCTGCGGCCGCGAGGAGCCCCGACGCTGCGTGGCCAGCGGGACTGCTGCCCGCTGGCCGCTGAATCCGTCCCGCGTGTCACGTCTCTGAGCGTTTAACGCTGCAGGCGTGACCCTATCGCTAAGCCATTCAGCGTTGACTGAGCCGCAACGTCCACGCTTGTGCGTTTCTGGCACTGTAGCAGGGTCCTGGGGCCCCGCGTCACTGTCAGCAAGAAGAGCTGCGTTTCGCATGATGGAAGCGTTCATTGTTCACTCCCCGAGGGCGGGGCTGGTGCCCGAGGCCCCGCAGGCACAGGACGGACTTTGCCACCTGCTGCACCTTCCAGAACACTCCTGGCCTTCTGTCTTGGCTCCCCCAAGCCCTCTCGGGGCTGCAGCCTGCCCCCGCGCCCCCAGGCGCTGCCCGCTCCTCACTGCTGGGAGCCCACGGCCGCGGGGTCCTGGCCGAGCTCGCCCCGTCGGGCCCACGGTCCCTCTGTGCTCGCTGGCCGGAGTCTCGTGTCTGCCCACTGAGAGGAAAGTCCCGAGTCTTGAGTTTTTGGTGTCGTTATGAAATGCGTCTTCGCAGTCCTGGCTGGGCGGGGGCCGTCAGGGCACAGGCGGCGGCTAAGGCCTCGGGCGCCCGACCAGTCTGCAGTTTCCCCTGAGACGTGTTGAGCCCGCAGGGACTGCCGGGCCCCGCGTGGGCAGGCGCTTGGGCCCGGCTGGGCCTCTGGCTTTCACCCCGTGGGCGTCCTCTCGACCACAGACGGGGTGCTGCTGGCCTCCCGCCTCTCCCTCTACGCGCTGGGCTCTCCCCGCCACACCTGGGCTCCCTGCCTGCGGGCCTGTCCTCCTCCGTCGGGGTCCCCTCCGCCCCGTCCTCTCACGGCCCCGGCTCCTACTTTATTTCCAGGCATCCGTGGCTCTCGGGGGCCCAGTGGCGGCGCCGCCTCCTCGCTCAGGCCGCCGTCTCGTCGTCACAAAGGGCCTGGTTAAGTGGCCCATGGGGCTCTGGTCTTCGGGTTCTCGCGTCTGGCTAACCCCGGACTGGACGGTGCTGGCGCTTTGTCTGGAAAAGGGGTCACACTGAGCCCTGGTGAGCCTCTCCCGGGCGCTGGGCGCCTGAGTGGACATGGCCTCGGGGGCTCCCTCTGGGAGGGCAGCTCTGGTTAGGGTCTGCCCTCCCACCCACTCCAGGCCCCCAGACCCCCAGGGTGTGGGTGACTCGGGGCAGCCAGAGGCCTGGACAGCGTTTCTGAGTGGAAGTCATGGCTCCCTGTGCCTCCAGGCTCCAGCCCCCAGGCCCCTGCCCCCAGGCTCCAGCCCTGGGCTCCAGCCCCAGGCCCCTGCCCCCGGCTCCAGCCCCTCCCGCCGAGGCCTCTGTTTTGAGTTCGCAGACACAGTTGCTCCCCGCCTGTGGCCACTGTGGGGGCCCCACCTCCATCTTTCCTCAGGACGTTCCGTCTGCAGCTTCAAATCAGTGCTTTTGGGGACCTGGCCTGCTGTGGCCTCGGCTCCTGAGCTGACTCGGCGCCTCACGGCCGTTACCCTTCACTTGACTGACCCTCTGGTGTGGGGTGGGTGTGCTCTGAGCCAGCCGCATCCAGGCCGCGCGGGCAGGGCCGCAGCCCCCATGGCCGCCTCCTGTCCATTGCAGTCCTGGCCTCCTCCTTCCTGACCATGCAGGCCGGGGCCGGGAGCGCAGCCCTGCAGGGCTGGCCGGCGGCAGGGAGGACTCTCCCCGCGTCTCAGGACAGCACCCCGCTTCTGTGTCGGCTTGACCCCCAGGTCCGGCTCTGGTCTCCGCCACACCTGCGCCACCAGGTGGAAGTGAGACGGTGCAGTGGGCGCCTCTGCCTGGCCCTGGCTCCTCCGGCAGAGACCCCCCCCCCCCCCCCCCCCAGTGGTTTAAACCAGACCTAGCCTCGGAGTCATGTCATTCAAACTCATCCGGTAGTGAGGCGGCAAAAGCCAGCGAGTTCAGAGAGAGCTGGGTGCGTCCCCTGCCTGGGTTCTGGCGCAGCCTGTGGCCCTATGGGGACCCCACCTCCGACTCCTGGGGGCGCCCAGGGCCGGGCACTGTGGGCCTCCCCGCCCCCCCCCACGGTCCCCCCCAGAGAGACCCCAGGACGCCCGCTGCTGTCCTCGGCCGCCCGCCCGCGGGCTCTGGGGCTGCGGGGGCGTGGGGGCCTGGGGGCTCGCTGGCCAGGGGGGATTTCTGAAGGAAGGCCCACGGAGCCCACACCCATCGACGATGTAATTCTTCTTACGACCCAGACGCTAAATCATCGCGAGGAAGTTTAGAAAGTTTAATGTCATACACAAAGCATAAATTTCCTTAATGACTTCCAGGATATTAGTGCAAATCTATGTTATTTTCATTTTATATTTCATTGATTTGCAACATTTCAGTTGTCCTACTGACACACATAAAATGAATCTAAGCTCGTCAGAAGTCGGGTCTCCAGGAACAGGCGGTGCTGAGTCGCCTCTGACCCTGGGGCTTAACGGGGTGCGTGGTTTTTGGGAACGCTGAACTCTCCCCCAAGCCAACGCTGCCAGCTCCTGTCTTGTACCTTATGAAGGACGGAGCCTGAGTGAGTTTTGGGGACCCCCGGTGGGACGCGGGCTCTAACTGAGGGCCTGGAGGGCTGTGCCTGGCCAGCGACGGCGGGTGCGGCTGCTCCCAGCCCCCGGCGTCGGGCGGCGATCCCCGCACCCCCAGCGCCCGCACGCACGGCCTGTGTTCTGCCAGCGCCCCTTCTCTCTTAGTGGAGTTTGGAATTGAACCGCAGTCGCCCCAGACAAGTGCGTCACCGGGTAATTGCAGGCGGTCAGCGGAACCAGACACGCGGGACCGGGCCGTCCTGTGACTTCGTTTTTCATGAAGTAGAAGGTTGAAGATGCTCCGAGTCCTGGTGTAGAGAGCCGTAAGTGTGCGGGTCGGAGAGGGAGAACTGACGGCGTGCTGAGGCCGAGGGCCGAGGGCC